GATAAGATCAGAGTGCAGTATTTTAAATGCCACTAAGGGGAGAATGGAATGAATTTAGAATGACAAAGATAAATTAACATGAAAAAGCTGTTTGTTCAGTGAGGGCTGCTCCCACTGAATATGCAAGGTTTGTACTGTGTGGCTTCTGCTTTTTAAGGTTTCTCCATATGTTTATACATTTGCATAGAGGTTTATATTTATATACTGTTATGTATTTTACATTGTTTATTACCTGTAAGTGGCGATTCTTCGCTGTTGGAAAACTAAATAAAAATAAAACAATTTGGAGTTATGATATTTCTATTGATGACTGTACATATTAATTTATGCCAGGACCGTCCTTCCACCAGACTTTCTTCTGATACATTTATGTTATCTGTTCCTCGATGTAAATCAAAATCCCATAAATCTAAAATTTTCAGCAAATTATGCCCATCTGGAATAACCTTCCTTTAGTAGGGGGTGGGGGATTTAGGGGGACTGTGCCTGGTCCCCATTTTGAAAATTAAAATATAAAAAAAAAAAGAAAAAGAAATTATTGATCGCCCAAAATACAAGATACAAGATAACTTTATTGTCCGAATGAAAATTACATTTGGATGTTACATCGCATGCAAAATGCATCAGGGCTTATTTTTTGATGTATAGAAAACAAAAATTTCATTGTCGCATGATTGACCCCCTAGAGTAGTGTTGTCTCTCGGTCACCCCTGCTTTCGGACGTCTCTGGATCGGCCCCTATTAGCTAATTGATTAGATTCTTCTTTTTAACTTTCAAAAAACAAAATGTTTGAATTGTATAATGCTAAATTGAAATCAAATTTTCTTCCTAAGAATACTTGCACATGGATATTGTTTTGTCACTGCATTGCAGTTGTTAAATGCTGAAATTTTTCTAATTAATTTTTTTTTTTTTCAAATTACACAAATCTTTAAGTTTTATTTATTTTGGGTTGTAATTTTACTATTTTAAATGTTATTTTTAGGTGTGAATTTTTAAAATAATATATTTTTTTATGTATCTGTTGTAATCCATGTAAATATTTAAATGAACAAATAATTCAATTCTTTTGAATTTTATTGTAAATAATTATTAATTTCAATAATTTTGATTGAAATATTAATTTAAGCTATAGTAATAATTAGTAAACAATCTTATTTAATTGTATTTCAATTTAATTTGTAAAAATAATTTGAATAATGTAGGTTTTATTTCGTTTTTTCCTTTTTATTCTATTGCAACTTTGTTATATTTATATTTTTATAAAGGTGACAGCTTATTGCAAAAATCAGCAACAAAATGTCAATGCCATAACTAAATGAATGAATTCCTCCATGAATTAATAAAGTGCAGGAAACATTGAGCAAATTATATAATGCAATATGTTAAAAAATGACTATAGGCTTATTGTATTTATTTATATGAGTTGACTAGTATTGTGAAATACATGTAAAAATGATGCGAGCTTTATTAAATAAAACGTGTTATGAATACAGTACAGTATGCTTATTTCTCCGTGAATAAATAATCATAAACACATTATATAATTCAATATGTATAACAATGACTATAGGCGTATTGTATTTATTTATACGAGTTGACGAGTATTGTGAAATACATATAAAAATTATGTAGGCCTAATTAAACATGTGTTATGAATACACAGGGTGCAATATAATGTGCATTATTTCAACAAACCTATTAATTGCCTTTTGATTTAGACCTACAAGTGTATACGTTAGAGTTTCGATTAACAGACTGCTGGATTCTGACCTTATGGTACCCAAGGATCATGAAAATATCGATTATGTTTGATTTAAATTTGTACAGCATAATTTTCTTAGCGTTTAAAATTTTTAATTTTCCCATATGCGCACACATTGGCCTGATTAAGTATCATCCGATTTAAAATTATTTAGGCTTAAAAAGGGTCCAAGTAGCGTTTGTCAACCTTCAGAGTATGTTGTGATCCGCAGGTCCCAATTGAACACAAATCCGAAAATGGTCGGGTCAAAAAATCATGCCAAAAAAAAATCGTGAGCTAGGCCTATACACTTTAAATTTGTCAACTTTTCACCAAGTAGTTTTCGTGCTGATTCTGACCTTACAGTGGTACGTAAGGATCATGCAAATATCAATTGTTTGAATTTACCTTGTACAGCATTATTTTCTTGGCGTTTAAAAGTTTTAA